TGATTAACATAAAGGAAATGTTTTAGATATTATTTAAAAAAAATCTAATGGATAACTAAAAATGGGAAAAAATTTGAATAGAGTTAAAAGATTAGATGATTAGATTTATTAAATGGAACATTTAAAGATTAAACATAGGTTTAATTATGGGTAAAAAGAACAGAAGGAATTTGGAAATAAGTGTATACTAATTCAAGAGGGATACGTATTTTAAGTAGTATATTATTTTCTTATTTTCTTTTCCTTTTTTTCTTTTTTTTATTTCTTTTGTTTCTCTTTTTTTTCTCTCTCATGACTTTTCTTTTTCTATGTCTTTCTTTTGTGTCTTTTTCTTACTTACGGTATTTTTTGAGATATGAAAATAGATTTAAATACTTTAAGGTAATTAATTCTGGGAAAATTTTAACCAGTAGAAATGTTTTGAACATTGTAAGGAAAATAAATTTAAATAAGAATTGCAAACAGGATTTGTGACGAGGCAACCAAGATGACCAGATAGAAAAGAAGCATGATATTGATGAATTATTGGTAGAAATTTTAGAAATTTTTTTATAATTAATTGTTACTATCAAATTAATAAGAATTGTATTAATTTAGGTTGCAAAGAGAATATTATTGGAAGAAGAGAAAATCAAGCAAAGTTATAACGTGGATTTTTGAATATAGAAATTAACCGTTAGTGATTACTTTGTAAATATAAACCCAGACAACACACAGTTTACCAAATATCAAGATGTTTATATTAAAAAAATCAATAAAATATATATTTTTTAAAAACATAACTGCAACATATTTGTCTATGCATGGCCCTATTCTTAAGAAAAACAACTTCATATATAAACAAAAATTATTATCTCAAGCAATTCCTAGACATAACAAGAACAAGGGTGAACCTATTTACAAGACTTGCAACTGACAAACCAAAACAACTAATTTAATCTAATGCTCCAGTTCAACAGGTCCTAACTGTGAATAAGTTTCTTCCAATAACATAAATACCAAGTAGCACTTTTCATTCCAAAGAAAATAAATGAATTTTAATTCCAAATTAGGATTAAACTGTGTAACCTGTTTTAGAATCATACAGTATTTTCACAATCATTCTTGCCAGAAATTATCAACTAAGGCACAAGTTGTCAAAAGTCAGGCACTGAAGAAATGAATCTTCCTATGAAATTATTAGTATTTTGGAATCAGAAAGAATGATATATACAACCTCCAAGCAATACCAATAAAATTGTCACTAAAAGGAGGCATGAAAAATGTGAATTTTCATGAATGAATGCAGTGTTTTACTATCGCTGGCACTGTTTTCTATTACATTATTATTGGTATTTTGGACTATGTACTTTTAATCTTATTTATGTAAACAAGGCATGTCAGCTACACAGTTTCAATTGGAGCAGCAAATAAATTCACTTTTAAAGAATAGACACAAAGCAGTGCTTCATTATCAGTAGTTCACATTTAAACCAGTTTACAAACATTTGATTTGCTTCATGGTCTGATCAAATAAGTAAAATCTCACAGCATTCAGCATTAGGATATTCAGTAGATGAAACAGTAAGAAACATGAAGAAGTGGTTCACTTTATTAATACATTATTAACAAATAGAACAGAAGCACTGATCATATCTTGTTGTGAGTTACATAGGATTATTTTGTGTAAAAGAAACAGCCATATAAGTTCTATAAATAAATAAATAAAGTGCTTAATAAAGTATGCCTGGCAGCATGACGCAGGCCATAAAGCTCTTGAAACCAAAAGAAGCAGCTCACAGTTTGTTCTCCCTGGCATGGAAAATCACATGGCACGTGCTACGTTTCACTAATATTGGAATTTTAAAAAAGCCAAGCAACTGGTTCGTCACCTTTTTACTGACAAGGGCACAGTTTTCAATTAATTAGATTGTGCCAACTAATTCAAAGAGCCTTTTATGATTAACCCATCACTACATTATCTATCCATCTATATACTATTAAAACTCTTGTTCCCATAACCTTTAACTGGGCAAAACAGTGCATCATTGGGTAACACTTTTTCAACCAAGGTACCTCAAATGGGCTAACTTACAGAATGTGTTCAAAATCCTGGACCCATGTCTCCTGTGGAATTGAAATTTTGGCAAATTTTATAAAACATTTTAAGACGGTGGTTCTCAACCTATGGTCCTCAGACCCCTGGGGGGGGGTCGCAATGTTGTCATAGGGAACCCACAATGGCTAGAAGAAATGTTATGATTTCAGTCTTGAGTTAAGTCTTGGGGGTCCTTGACCATAGTCCATGGCCACAAATGATATTTAAAGAGAGTCCATGTTGAAGAAAAGGTTGAGAACCACTGTTTTAAAGGATAAACATTATCATGAAGCAGTTTGACATAATACAAAATGTCATAAAACATTTCCTGTGCTTATGTTTGACTGTGCTGTTCAGATCAATATGGCCTATTTTCAAGCAGATGAACGTATCTCCAACTTTTCAAGTGAAGGCAGTAAGTTGTGCCACTGCTGATGGGATTGAGGAATCTGACTGAGGAAATCTCTGAAACAATGACCCAAAGGCTCACAGGTTGCAATAGCAATTAATTCTGCAATTTAGAAGTCCAAATTTCTTTGAGTGAAAAATTGAGGAATGTACATTATAAACATTAGCCAAATCATATTTAGAACATTATTTAATGTTGATAACAATGGTTTATGAAGCCACAATTCACTTGGTTTGCATAGTGGGCTGTGGCATTAATTACAGTTAACAAATCAGAATGAACAGGTTCCTACAATGCACTAAATCCTGCAAAAACCAAATTATGGTTTATATGAAATATATAGGGTGGCGGGCAAACAAATGAAGAGGAAATGCATTTGTATATTGCAGAGAAGCAGCATGCACACAATCATCATATAACTCCCCATGTTCAGTAAGAATAAAATCCCCTGGACACACTTGGCAGAATAGAGATACATCCAAAAATGAACATGAGGAGACAAATGATAAAACATGCAATTCATGGGTGCGGGGCACATGGGGTAGCTCCACACCCCCACCCCAGGCGCGCGGCTTGCCCCAAAACTAGGGCTTATTTTGGGGGTAGGGCTTATATTAGGCCCACCGCCAAAAATCAAGCTAGGGCTTATTTTCAGGATAGGTCTTACTTTTGGGAAAACCCGATAGGAAGTTATGGGTTTAGTCTCAAGGACCCTCAGATAGGACTGTGAAAGATTTCATTATAAACCATGTCCAGGGGAAATACTGAAGGCCATAAGCAAGTAACAATCACTAAAATCTCCCACACAGTTTAATCCAAGACCGAGTGGCTGTGGCTACCGGCGCCTCGGCATAGTCAGCTGATTCCATCGCTGACTATAGGGGGCGAAACTCTGGCTCCCTCGGATAGGGTACGCAATCTGGGTGTCCTCCTGGATCCACGGCTGACACTGGATGACCAGTTGGCGGCCGTGACCAGGGGGGCGTTCTATCAGGTACGCCTGGTTCACCAGTTGCGACCTTTTCTGGACCGGGACGCCCTGCGCACAGTCACTCATGCCCTTGTCACCTCCCGCCTGGACTACTGCAATGCTCTCTACATGGGGCTTCCCTTGAGGAGCACCCGGAGACTCCAGCTAGTCCAAAATGCGGCCGCGCGGGCGGTGTTGGGAGGGACTCGTCGCTCCCATGTAACACCGCTGCTGCGCGAGCTGCATTGGCTGCCGGTGGCCTTCCGGGTGCGCTTCAAGGTGCTGACCATCATCTTTAAAGCGCTCCATGGCATCGGACCTGGATATCTTCGAGACC